TGTTTTTTGCCATGTGTCTGCATAGCGTCTAGCACAATGGGGCCCTGATCTCAGTTGGGGCCTTTCAGTGCTACTATAAATGCAAATAATAATAACAACTACTAATTGGTTGTAATGAATACAAAAGGGATTGTTGAAACCACAAGTCAAAGACTTGACTCTGTAGTGCTTTTGGGGTCCTAAACTGACACAACTTGTGCTTCGTATGGTAGTGATACTACACAGGATCTCTCTCTCTCTCTTTCTCTGTCCTGGCCTGAACTAAGCAGTCATGGGAGAGATTGCTGATTGCTCTAAATTGCTGCATCTCTGCACAGTTAATCTGAAGCTTTTTTCTAAGTTTAAAAAAAAAACTAAACCTTTTTTTCTGTTACTAGTATTCATTTGATAGGTTTTGGGTTTTTTTAAATTTTTTTTAATTTTGTCCATCAAATGGAACAAGAAAGGAGGACATCTCTGGGCATCACAGTAGCCTGTCCAAAAATAGTTCTGTACCCATTCAGATCACTGCAAATTATGCTTTTTGTTTTCCCCCAGATGTCAAGATAGCCTGGTTTAGTACAACTGAGACAATCAGCTGACTCAAAAGCAGGGTATATGTTAAACGCCTGCCCTACGAGTGCTGAAACTTGTACCACTGAAGGAGAGAGAGCTATTCTGTGCTGTCATAGAATCATAGCACAGAAATAATTCTATTGCCTTTAGTGCAATTTAAAAGTTATCTGTTCACTTAGCCCTTGGTAACTCAGACCAAGCAGGTGATGCTGAGAATATCAGGGAACCACAGATTAAACAATGTAAAAATAGCTGAAATGATTGAAATCTGTGGAATTTGGTAAAGATGTATAGTGTAATTTCTGTGAAAAATGGTTTCCATTCCTTCCCATGCCCTCCTTTCCTGTATACTTCTACAAATATATCTACAATACCCATAACTTTAAAACTCAATAGCACCAAATCCCTCTATTAGTGTTTCTTATGACCACAGTGAAAAATTATGCTTTATTCCTTGTTTGAACTCCATTTCAGGCTATCTTCTTTGCCAATGATTATGGTCATCATCAGCTGTATCTGTCTGGAGATTTACACCACCTACAGAGGTGATCTGGAAATATGGTTCAGTGTTTTTTGCTAAAGTGTACAGTGTTTTTTACCATCAATTTTGTCCTTCCATGCTCCTACTTCAACTCCCAGACCACTGCAAGTGAACTAGTGTAACCTTTACTAGAAGTGGAGCCCCACTTTCTATTCTGTTTAATGCCTTAGCAGTGTTTTAGGTACAATGGTTAGAGGTTACATAACTAGAATGCCATGTGTCACCTTATCATTAATTGCCTAAAATGTTGGAGAGAAAGGTTCAGTTCCTATCATAATTGCTCAAAGCATATTAAGGATTTTGTACAAAACACTCCCAGACATCCAATGTATATCTATATATTCAAAACATAGCAAAGTAGCAATGTATTCCCATTTACTTATTTTCACCCTTCAATTCACCTTTCCTAATTTTTATTATTCACAAAACTCCCAAACTTTAATGTGCATGTTTCTTTACTTAAAGTTAGCTGCTAGCACAGAGAAAAGTTCCCTGGCTGTTATGTGAAAGGTCCTGGGTTTAAATCTCATGGCAGTCCTATTGGCAGTAGAGAAACACATTTAATTTTGAGGTCAGACTAGATGATTATAATGGCCCCTTCTAGCCTTAAAATCTATTAAGTACATTTTACCCCAGACAACAACAACAACAAAATTCAGTACTTTTTTTTATTTCAAGGACTAGAGTCAAAATTTATTCTGCAGTGGAGCCCAAGTTTGGGAGCCTTCAGATTCCTGTATAAGGCATTATTAATTTTATTTAGCATTTGGTTACATTTTGTTTTTCATTTTGTTTTTGTTCCTGGCAATTTGACAGGTAGCACTGGCTGTCTCTGTTCTGTAGTACTGTATTATCTATAAGTTTGCATATTTTGTATCACAGTTGGGTCAACAGGCTGCTTAAAAAGTAATTATATACAAATAAATGCAAGCATAAAAACTAGCAAAAGCAGAAATGAAAGGATGATTTTGTAGCTGAGCTAATATGGGTTACAAGTTACTGCTATTAGTAAAATAAAGACTCCAAACCAGCATCAAATGTAAGGGAAGTGCAAAATGAACAGAATATATTTTAAAAATGGGGACTTTGTAAGTGACTTGCTATATCATTGTGCTCTCTCTCCCTCTCCTCCGTCTCCCCAGTTTTTAAAAGGACAAATGAACTTAAAAAGTCCTTTAATGCATGGCCAAAATAATAAAACAGATTTCTCTGATACTGCTACTCTGTTAAATTAATATTATTATTTGTTTTCAGTAGAACACACCACAATGCTGTACAAACATAAAAGAAGGTAAGATCCCTGCCCTAAAGAACTTAAAAACTGGAAGCCAGTGGCTTACAATGGCTTCTTCGATTATCAAATACATGAGACTGTCAAACACTGTAGCTTCACTTAAGCAACCACAAAGCCTCCATATATCCTCAATAATGAGCAGTATCCCTTAAATATAATGTAGATATGTGTATATCTCTACACATACACACAACATGTATCTCTACTTTAAATTCATACCTCAGTGGTTAAGCAAGTTTGGTTACCAATATCATCATGTACTATTATGTACTGCCCCTTATGTATTTATCTCCCTTTTCCTCTGGATATTGGTAGGCAGGATAATGACTTGTCCTATATGAGTGGGTAGGGGAATGCATCCGGTGAAATCCAGGAGCTGCTGAAATCAATGGCAAAACTCCCATTGACCTCAGCCAAGCCAGGATTGAGCCCACCGCCAGTTATTTAGTTTCACATTATGGATCACATGGGGAAGATACTTCTAGCTCAGTTCCACTGCCTTCTCCCCCCAAGAGACTGGAGGCATCTCCTTCATGATGGGCTGAACCTCTCCAAGTGCAGGTCTTGGGCAATTAAGTCTCGTGTTCCCCAACTCTGTTTTACCATTTAAAGAAAACAAAGTTTCAGCTTCACAGCTTAGTAGCTGTAGCACAAGGAAGCAGTTTCAAATAAGAACCTTTGGGTTATACTACAGGATATTTCCTCTCAGAAATTAGAAGCATTAAAATCTTAATAGTAACATCCGCTGTCACCACATCACAGTCAGGCTGCTGTAACTGCCCTCAGCTGCATTGTTTATAAACATAAAAGATTATAAAACTGAAATATCAGCAGAACCCCTTCAATTCTTTGAGACAGCCATCGGTTGGTCAACTTACCACTTGGCACTACAAAACATGGCCTGCAGTCTCACATTGCAAGAGAACTCTGATCAACCCACCTGGAACACTATGAATACCTGCAGAACACCTGCAGGTGGCAGAATAAATTCCTGCTGGTGTCAGATATTTAGGTCAAATTCAGGGATGAGTCTAAGATGGCTAACTTACACATCTCTTCCAGCCCCCTTCATATGTAAATTATACCACCTGAGTCTGAGTCCCCTAGACTGCCTTAAACCCAGTCAACCTTAGATTGATACCCACTTACACCTCCGTGCATATCATCTCTGAATTTGGCCAAACAGTATAAGGGAGATTATTGGAAAAAAATCAGAGGTGACATGTAAATTGATGTATGTTAGACTCTTCTACACTCACTTATGCCCTACTCCACACCTCTGAGTTCAGTGGAAGTTGTGCTATTGACTTCAGTGGGAGCAGGTTCAAGCCCTTAGACTCCATTATGCCAATGTAGACTCCCTTATATCTACACTACTCTACCCGTGTGTAAAGTTTGTGTGACTTACATGCTCAGGGGACTCAAAACCAGGTTAGCTATTATTTTAGATTCCCTGGGCCAGATTCAGATCTCAGTTGCATAGATGTAAATCAGAAGTAATTCAATTGACGTCAATGTAGTTGCATCACTATAAAACTAGCAAAAGAGCAGTCTGGAGGCAGTGAGCAACACGTAAAGTCCTCCAGTCAACTCATGAAGTCAATGAGTTGGTTTTTTTTAAATGAGGATTGATTAAACAATTTAAAATTAGGCCCATTGGGGTGTCTTTCACAACACGTTGATGTAAATCCTAACTGATGGTATAACTCATACTATATGATGCCAAATGGACTTTAATGCTTAATTATATCAGCCTGAAAATAGTTTGAATCAGTCAATATCCACAGTATTCATGACGTAGTAGGCACCGTTGTTCACCACTCCATAAAGCATTTTGGATCATCCTAATGTATAAATGCAGGGGTGGCCAAACCGTGGCGCGCGAGCCACATGCGTTTTTTTTACAGTTAAAGTGCAGCTTGTGGAGCTCCTCCCCCCTCCCCCCCGCATTCTCCGCCTACCAGACTTGGTGTGGAAGCTTGGGACCAGGGCCGGCTTTAGGACCTTCGGGGCCCGATTGGAATACCCAGCGGCGGTCGGTCCGCTCCGCGTCTTCCGCGGCACTGAAGGACCCCCCACCGCCGAAATGCCGCCAAAGACCCCGGAGCGGACACCCCTGCCCCGCCGCCAAAATGCTGCTGAAGACCCCAGAGCGGACCCCCTCCCCCCGCCGCCGAAATGCTGCCGGAGCGGACCACTGCTGGGTGAGCCTAAGGCGCGGGGCCCTCTTATCCACGGGGCCCGATTCCAGGGAATCGGGGGAATCAGCCTGCTTGGGACCTCTGCCTTGCAGCAGGGTGGTGGGGTAGGGGCTTCTGACCAGTGGGGAGAGGGGTCTTGGGGCTCCAGCCCGGCAGGGTGCACCTGCTGGGACTCAGGGCTTCAGCAGGAGTGGGGCAGAAGACCTGAGCCCCAGCAGGCGTGCTCTGGCTCTCCAACTTCTGAGACTGTCACATGTGCTTGGAGGGTCAGAATATTTGGCCACCCCTGTATAAATGTATCATGCTTGAAACTTCCTGAAGGACATACAGACCACGGGCACAGCCTAAAACAGCTCACTTCTTTCCACATTCACTGAATTGCACTGTAGTAGCATGAAAAAGTACTTACGCTCTACGAAGTAAGAGCTGGCATCAATCTTCCAGATAATCTGACCACGGTGAGAGCCATTGACCCCACGGTTCTTGTAGTCCAGAAAGTTTTCAGACAAGACCTCATCTACACACAGACAAAATGACCTCATTAGCTGACTGTCAGCACAGCACAGAAAGTGAAGAGAGAGGCCAAAGTATGTTTTACACTCCATAGAGTGTGCTATATCTGATAGCTTGCCAGCACATGTAGATAAATTAGCTGTGTTATGTATTTATTATTTATATTTTATTTTTATTTATCCATTATTTATGTTTTAAGCAAATACACCTATCCTTAAAACACTAGCTTTGTTTGGACATAATTTAAAATATACAATCATACAAAACTCTTAAAAATTACAACAGCTGACTCAACCTGGATCAAACCATATCCAAATTAAAAAAAACCAACCAGCTGAATGACAGCGAATGGGAACAAAAACAATACCCTAGCACTCATCCCTCCTCCCAAAACATGGAGAACAGATCTGTATAGGCATTTGCACCCATCACCATTATATCCAATAGGTGTGTAGGTGGTTCTTACAACAAGCAGGGAAAGTTACGTTTGAGTTAATTCAGAACAAGGGATTACAAAAACTGATGTCTCTCCACAGATAGCACCCAGGTCCCTCCCATTTAAATCAAAGGATTGATAGCTAAGTGCTGTCCACTGCTTGTAATTATGGCTCATTGAAAGACATGGCATGTCCCAGACTATCAAGGTCATTTTAGAATAATGGTGTGTCAGTAATCTATTGCAGGTTACCTAAAACGCTGAGAGAGTGAGGGCCATGTAGGCAACTTGATAGGACTCAATGGGACACATTTGGAACTTCCCAAGACTCTCAGGGCCACAACCCCTAACTCTGCATATCCATTTACACTGATTTTAAAATTAAAAAATAACATACAGCCACAATATCTTGCATGTATTTCTATTTCTATTAATTGATTAATAGAAATTGTTTGCTAGCTGAGTTCACTGTCAGTGAAAACAAGAAACTATGTGCATACCATTAGAGAACAATAACAAGCTTAGGCTCTGGCCTGTGTCAATCACTTGTGTCCAGGAATGCAGAGGCTAAAGTAAGGACAACGGATGGGCTGTGCTGCTTCCCCATGCCTTGGCCTAATTATTCAAACTTTTTGTGAATGAAATGAATTGTGAACTGTCTAAACATTTTTCCTAGTGGGAAGAAGAGTTCTCCATCAACAGGGACCAATGAATACCTTCCTGTATTTTTCTTTTCCAGCAACGAATAAGTAGCTTTAATTTTAATTTGAGTAAATTCTTAAACGTGTATTTTAATCAAGTGGCTCTTACAGCTGAAGGTACTTATGTGGGTACTTAAATTTTAGTTTGACAAAGGCTAAGTTGATTAATGGTGAGGGTAAAAGCTGTGGGAAGATGAGCACCAATAAGGTCCTGGGTTCAAATTCAGCACATTAACTGAGTGATCTCAGGCAAACCATTTGATTTGCTATTGCCTGGGTCAACTCAGCTGCAAAACAGAGTAAAGAGGAAGACGCCATGGAAAACTAGATATTGTGTCCGAGTTGAACTAAACTAAATACATACTGTAAATTATCAAATAAGGAGTAGACATTTGACAAGACAAGCTTATGCCATTATCAAGACAAGCTTCTAGTGACAGATCACTAGAAGTGTGCAACACTACCAGCTATTCAAGGGTCCGTCATGCAGCTGCTTCATTTGAAGAACTCCCCACAGTGACTTCAATGGTGGCTGTAGGATCTTCCTCCCAAGTGAAGACCTAAGTGGTGAAGCAGCTGTAGACCTCGGACTAGTAAACATCACATGATGATTATACAAAGGTTACTCCTGAAGGCATTCTGTGCCAAAAATTAAAAATTCTGCTCACAATATTTTAAAATTCTGCAAATTTTATTTGTCAAATAGATGCGGCAGCTCCAGCATGGCATTGGAGCACAGGCCATTGGCTGCACAAAGATGGGAGTTCACTGTGTAGCTCCCCCCGGGACACGTACTCAGCGGTGAGGCCGCACCCAACTCTGACACAGCGCAAGGACTAGGCCTGGCTCAGAAACATCTCAGGGCCCTGCCCCTCTGTGTCAGGTATGGGCAGGCAAGCTCAGCAAGGCAGGATCCAAATATGGAGGGACTTTGTGTGGAGAGATCCAGGTGTGGGTTGAGAGGGTTCTGTGAGGGGCAATCTGTGTGCAGACAGCTCAGTGGTGGATCCAGGTGTGGGGGGAATCTGGATGCACAGAGGCTTGTTGGGAGATTCTGGGTGTAACAGTATTGGGACTCTGCAGGAGGGTCCAGGTGAAGGTGGTTGGAGCTCAGCAGGGGGTCTGGGTGCGGGGGGCTCAGTAGGAGGGTCCAGATGCTGGGGAAATGGGGATCCAGGTGCAGCTGGTTGGGGCTTGGTGGGGTGGGGATCCGGGTGTGAGTGGCTCATTGGGGTGGTCCAGGTGCAGGGGAGTGGGGCATTCTGAGTACGGGGGAGGTGAGGCTCAGCGGGAGGGTCTGGGTATGAGGGGGTCTGGATGCACAAGGGGTTGGGTGGATGGGGGAGCAGCTCCCTGTAGAGGGATCCCTTCGCCTCCAGCTGAGGTGCGATGGGTGCAGGAAATGGGGGTGGGGGGAGTTTGCAGAGCTTCCTGCAGCTGGGGGAGAAATATGAGGGTGGGTCTGACCTGGCCCCGGATGCCATGCAGGGGAAGAGGAAGTCCCGTCCTCCCCAGCCCATCTGGGACTAGAAGCTGAGCCTAGAGCAGGGTAGGAGCCAGCAGCCAGGTCTTCCCCAGTCCTGCCTCCTGCCCCACAGTGATTTACCTCTCTGCTGGCTGCCCTAGGACCAGAAACTTACTCCTGGGGAGGGTTGCATGACTGCTTTTGTGGCTTCCCTTTGCTTCCCCATCAGAAAGTCATTTTTCTGCGGGGAAGCAAAGAAATCTGCAGGGGACATAAATTCTGCGCATGCACAGTTGGACAGAATTCCCCCAGGAGTAAAAAGTGGTTGAAACATCTTCTACAACAATTCTGTGACCTACAAATCAAGTTTAGAAAGTTCTCTGGTAAGGAAAACTCATCACCAAAAGAACAGATCTGTTGGCTGATCCTAGGGCAGAGGTGGGCAAACTACAGCCTGCGGGCCACATCCGGCCCATGGGACCCTCCTGCCCAGCCCCTGAGCTCCTGGCCTGGGAGGAGGGTCCCATGGCCCCCGGCCCCACCCCTGCTGTCCTTCCTCCCCCGCAGCCTCAGCTCACTGCGCTGCTGGGCCTGACCCAGTGCTCTGTGCTGCGCAGTGGCGTGGCTGTAGCGCCGCCAGCCACCGGTGCTCCAGGCAGCACGGTAAGGGGGCAGGGAGCGGGGGGGGAGTTGAATAGAGAGCAGGGGAGTTCGGGGGTGGTCGGGGGGATGGATAGGGGTCAGGGTGGTGAGAGGGTGGGGAACAGGAGGGTTGAATGGGGGCAGGGGTCCCGGGGAGGCAGTCAGGAAGGAGAGGTGGGGTTGGATGGGGCTGTGGGGGGCAGTCAGGGGCAGGGGTTCCGGGGGCGGTCAGGGGACGGGGGGGTGGATGGGGCAGGAGTCCCGGGGGGGGGTCAGGGGGGGGGGAGCGGGAGGGGGCGGATGGGGGGGGGGGGCCAGGCCATGCCTGGCTGTTTAGGGAGGCACAGCCTCCCCTAACCGGCCCTCCATAAAATTTTGGAAACCTGATGCGGCCCTCAAGCCAAAAAGGTTGCCTGTCCCTGTCCTAGGGAGTGCTAAGTGCCTTCAACTCCCAGTAAGAGTCAAGGGTGCTCACACCTCATAGGATTAGGTCCAAATAGCAGATATTTCTTTCAGTGGAAATAAAGGAGTGAGAAAGATATATGATATATGGATATAAAAGTTTAAAAAAATGAACTTATTTGATAGGACTTAAGTCAGCATTCTAAAGGATTGAGCTGCTGCGGAACTCTAATACTAAATTTGTTCACAGTAACTCAATAAAAGCATATTAAGCTCCCATGACGCTATTAAACAGTACACAAAGGGCAAAAATAAAGAAGAAGATAAATATTATTTTAAAAAAAATTCTACAAAGATTGAACTGAGATTAGACTTCTTTTAAATAGAAAGGAAAAGAAAGGCTACTTACTTGGCTCAGTGATTAGAGTTCTTTAAGATGTGTGGTCCCTAGCTGTATTCCACTTGCGGTGCACATGTGTTCCAGGGCCTGAGTCTGGAAGATTTTTGCTAGCAGTGTCTGTTGGCCTGCACCTGCACCCCTCTCTTCTTGTGCACCAAATCCAGGGCATAAGGGGTGATGTGCACCAACCACCTCTCCAGTCCCCTTTCTGCCATGAATAGCACTCGAATAAGACTCCACTACACGGGGAAGAAAGGCAGGCAGTGGAATACAAATAGGGACCGCACATCTTGAAAAACCCCAATTACTGTACAAGGGAAGTAACCTTTCTTTCTTTTTTGAGTGATGGTCCCTACTTGTATTCTACTCCAGGTGACTCTCAAGCAGAATTCATTGAGGATGAGGGTGGGAGGAACCGTGCTATATGATAGGTTGAAGGACTGAGGACTGCTCTCCCAAAAAAATGTGTCTGCTGTAGGGTGACCAGACAGCAAGTGTGAAAAATCGGGACGGGGGTGGGGGGTAATAGGCGCCTATAATAGAAAATGCCCCAAATATCGGGACTGTCCCTATAAAATAGGGACATCTGGTCACCCTAGTCTGCTGTAGAATCCTGAACCAAGGCCTAATGTCTCACAAAGATATGGATGGAGCCCTACATTACCATTCTGCAACTGTGTAGGAGAGGGACATCTCAAAGCGAAGCTGCTGATATAACCTGGGCACAAGCTGAGTAGGGCCTCGTATCTTGAGGGGGAGGGGTTGCCATCAGCTCAAACATCAGGATGCCACCTAGTATCCATTTGGACAGTCTTTCTGAGGACATAGCTTCCCCTCTCCTGCATTTGGCAAAGGAAAAAAAAAGTTTCGGGAGATTTTCTGAAGGATTTAATCCTCCAGAGAAGTTAAAGCTTGGCGGACATTCAGAGAGTGGGGCGTTCCTGTCCTATCTGGCGGC